ACGCGCCCACGGCTGAAAGGACGAGCATATTTGGTGGGACGGGGATTTGAACCCGCGACCCTCAGATTGCTAGTCAAGCCCCCTAACCACTTGGCCATGCCGGGCCACCTAGGAGAGAAGGAGCGAGATCTGAGGATTCTACTGTCCATCACATTATACTTAACCGATACATACAATAGTGTTACATTCTACGATTCACATTGACAGATTCTGCTACTACAAAATATCAACAATCGTGAAACTTAGCAAGTTAGAGGTATTAAGCAGCAGTGAATTATTTTCTTCAATCTAACTTCAAGGTTTGGCAACCAGCCTGTATTTGTCTACTTGTTAAACCAAACATTAAACTATCTGAAAATACGAACTTCATGCCTTTATACCTCACTGTGTTCCTTTCTTTGTATCTGATGAACTCTGAGTTCACGAGCGCCACATAAACTTTCTACTAGATGGATAGTACTTGTGTAGAACAAATTTCAAAAGGCAATGTTTAGTATGAGATAGAAGGCCGCTGTTTCTAAATGCATTCTAACTTTTTTGTTCAAAACAACTGTTAATGTTTCGTATTAAAGTTATTATTGCCAGTAATTCTGTGCTCGTTATAGATTTTTTTCTTCTTCTTCAAATTCTAGATGGTTTTGCCACTTTGATGATGATAATTATGTCAACGTGCCTAGGCTTATGAAGCTGTTAGAGAAGTACAATTCACAAGAAGACTGGTATTTTGGAAAACCTAGCATCCGGGTTCCTCTGAAGATTCCAGACAGGGAAAATACCCAGGTGATACTTGGCTCATTATAAGAACATTATAGTTACATATTATTACTTGGTTACTGTTTATTTTATTCATAGTATAAATATTTTACTCCAATAAAATAGGGGTTTAAGTAAGTAATATTAAAATTATTTCGAATATGCAAATCAATAAGTCACGTGATAATCACACCCGATATAAAGTCGAGGTGGAACGGCATATATCAGAACTACATTTGGATAGTACTTATCGTTACGTAAATAGTGTTATGCCACCAAAAATTGATTTGCTTTTGTTAAGAGCATGTAACATTTCTTTCCGATGTAAAATATTTGTTTTAGTTTCTTTGTAATTAAGCACAAAGCTACACAATGTCCACCACTGGTATCGAAAACCGGTTTCTAGCGTTACAACTCCGCAGATATACCGCTGTGCTACTGGGGGGCTAAAATATTTGTACACTCTGATCGTAAAAAATGTGTTAATAACGGTTACTCAGAACTTTCAAAACTGCGATATTCTTTTATCTAATGTTATTGGAAAACAAAGGAATTCACATCAACTTAAGGTACCAGAATCATCCAGAAAGAGATCTGCAACATGTCATACTCCAGCCATGTTAAGTAAAGTGCAGCATCTTGTAACAGGTGAGAATCCACGAAAACAAAGATTTGTGGCAAAAGCCGTCCATGTTCCCCAGGCAATAAATAGTACGCAACATAATCAAGAAGAATCTCTGGAAAAGTGAAACAAATTACTTTCACGAGAGATCAGTTTAACCGTCGCATACCTTAAGAATGAAATGAGTATTAATGGTATTCTATACGAATTCGCAGCGCCCATGGTTTGTTTGTTTGTTTTTGAATTTCGCGCAAAGCTACAAGAGGGCTATCTGCGCTAGCAGTCCCTAATTTAGCAGTGATAAACTAGAGGGAAGGCAGCTAGTCATCACCATCCACCGCCAACTCTTAGGCTACTCTTTTATCAACGAATAGTGGAATTGACAGTCACATTATAATGCCTCCACGGCTGAAAGGGCGAGCATGTTTGGCGGGACGGGGATTCGAACCCGCGACCCTCAGATTACGAGTCGAGTGCCCTAACCACCTGGCCATGCAGGCCCAGCTGCGCCTATGGATTTCTGTGTAACGAGATGGTTAAAACAGGCACTGGAAAACAGTCGTTTTCGTACACTACGGGATGAGCACTTCCCAGTGGTTAGCGTGCCTGACTGTGGATCTGAGGTTCCGTGGTTTGCGATCCGTACTGCCAAAAAATTATAGAAATTTCGCTCCAGCATTAGAGTCATAGGTGTATTATAACAGTGACTTTAAAATCCACTATTCGGTCTGACAAGAGTAGCTCCAGAGTTTGCGGTGGGTAGTGTTGACTTCTTGTCTTCCCTCTAGTCTATCACTAATAAAAAGACAGGGACAGCTAGTTACTCGGCTGTGCGCATAATTCAAAAGACAAGCAAACAGTCGTGCATTAGATTGATTATGAAAACGATGAAGGGAGGAGTAGTGTACTTTGGATATAACAGTCTTACGATAGAACCTTTTACGTTGGAAATAACATTTTAAGGCTTATGTCAAGATGCACGGTCGTCAGCTAGAGCATGATTAGGCGTAGCAACATGTACTGTAATGAGGTGGTGAGGCTCCAAAATCGTGTTAATATAACGTACTCAACTTCTTTATATGGCAAAAATTGTGTGCGAGTGCACGCACCATCGAAAAGTGTCACATTTAACGACATCATAGCAGGTGTAAAGTAGGCTTATTTACGTTATTAAAATTTGGTTGTGCATATATCAAGGAAACGTGACACAACCTTGCAGGGACACCATATTAGCAGGAGTGTAGGCTTTACTCATATTATTTTGTAATTCTCAGAAGAAGTAAAAATTGAGTGAGACCCAGTAAAAATAAAGTCCGTTATTGTTAGCCAAGTAGGTATTCTGTAATGATTGAATGTCGAATTTAAGAAGTTTCTTGGTTTTGTCAAGTGCAAGATCGACTTTGTAATCGTGAATTGGTTGTCGCACTAACGCTGTAAATCCTCACACGTTAATTTATTAGTTTGTTTTTGTGAAATATATAAATTTTACTGTAAAAATTACTTTAGGTCAGTCAAACTCTGTGATTTAAGTCTTTGATCTAAAGAAACTGTGCATTAAAGTGACTTACAATTGTAACAAAATCTTTGGAATTTATGTTTGACAAGCTACGACGACAATTCAGATGTTTGTCACATCTTTTGAAATCTCACAAATATTAGTGAACTCTGCTTATAAAATTTTAATAACACAAGTATTAATATAATACGACTGTATAAGCTTCCAGGTTTTCTAGTTGCTCTTCAAATAATACCAATTAATTCAGTTTAATTCACGAGTTACCTAAGATTTGCGCACTTTTAAATTTAAATTATCCCGTATTATGTATGGAACGTAAACTGGTGTTATAAGTCTCATTACTGTGGAATCTATCTTCTTCTTCAGCTTTTTCCCGTATCTATACGGGGTCGCTATTTTTGG